GCAGAGCTGCCAGATTCAGAACAGGCTACAGAAGAAGGCCTTGGCTGTGCACTTTGGAGGAAGTGGTCACTGGAAACCTTAGGCATAGCATGGAAGCATTGTCAGATATTGAAGATGTAATGAATGGAAGCAGAACCTTGTCAGAGAGGGTACCAGAGGGCGGGCCCTCGTGTGGGAGGGCGTTGGAAAAGTGACTGAGAGGAGCTGCTTTCTTGAAGTAAAGCTAACCATGGTGATGTGACTCGTTCCTCCTGGTTACGTGGCTAAAGCACGTGAAAGGACTCTTACCATCCTCCCCTCTAAGGGGAATTCTGGCTGCACTTCTCCAAAGACAGATTTGTTAGTTCTGGTGCTCATATATTCAATATTCATCACCAATACCATAATCCAAATGCACCAATTCTTCTTTACCCTTTTACCAATCTTAATACGTGTTTGAAGCTGATGTGCTTAATACAACCTGTCATTTGATTTTTTGACTGTTGCTTCCATAGGTGTTGATACCTTCCAAAGAACTTAAAATCATCAAAAACCACAATTTCAAAATGTAGTCATCAAAATGCTTGCTATTCTTGTTGTGTCCTGTTAAGTCCTTTCTGATTCTAACAACCCCATAGGACAGAGTAGAACTACGCCATCGAGTTTTTTAGCCTTTTCTCTAGCTAACCCACTGGTGGGTTTGAACCTCTGACCTTTTAATTAGTCATCATGCACTTAACCACTGAGCTACCATATAAAAAAGACATACAAATACCTCATTTTAGAGATTTTCTGGGTTGTTTGATTGTTGGCTTGCTTCGTTCTTTCTGAGCAAGAAAGATGAAAGAAAAAAAGGAGAAAAAGTCAATGTCATGCCTGAAGCTAATGGCATTGCCTGTAATATTCAGGAATCTATGGATTCATAAATCTTATTCATTCTCTGAAATACTTCAGACAAGTTTGATCTCCTGTCCTGATGCCAATGTCTCATAAGGAGGCAGAGGGCATAGAATGTGCCTGCTTTTCTCTTCTCTCTTTAAATGATCATTCTGGGACCCCTGGAGGGATTTAGTGAAGTGTTTTGTTTTCTGCGACTGAATAGAGAAGTGTACAGATTCTTAAATGACAGAGTAGGCTCTGCAGGATTGCTGTTAGGTGCTAACGAGTTGGTTCTGACCCATAGTGACCATCTACATCAAAGAAAGAAACGCTGCCCAGCGGGTCCTAGGCACCCTCGCAATTGTTATGTTGGAGCCTGCTGTTACAACCAGTGTCAATCCATCTCATTGACAGTTTCCACTATTCCACTGCCCTTCAAGCCCTCTAACAAGTCCAAAGTACGTGGGACGAAGTCTCACCATGTTCTTTACTTCTAAGGAGCATTCTAGTTGTACTTCTTCCAAAATACATGATTTTGCCTTTTGGCAGTAGATGGTACTTTTAATATTCTTCACCAGCCTCACAATTTATACACATAGCTCCTTCTTCAGTTTTCCTTGTTCAGTGTCCAACTTTCACATTCACAAGGGGTGACTGAAAAGATCATGTCGTGTCAGTCTTCAAAGGGACATTCTTGCTCTTGAACACTTTAAAGAGGTCGTGTGCAACAGAACTGCTCAATGCAGTAATTTGAGTCCTTGACTATGGCTTCCATGAGCTTGGATTGTAAATCCAAACAAGATAAAATCTTAGACAACTTCAATCTTTTCTTCATTTACTGGGATGCCATCTATTGGTCCAGTGGTGATGTAGTGGTTACACAACGGACTGCGGATTGCAAGGTTACTAGTTCAAAACCACCAACAGCTTCACAGGAGAAAGATGGGGCTTTATACTTCTATAAACAGTTACATCTTGGGAACTCACAGGAGCAGTTCTACCCTGTTCTCAACCTTCCTAATGCCTCGATCCTTGAATACAGTTCCTCATGTTGTGGTGACCCCCAACCATAAAATTATATTTTTTGCTACTTCATAACTGTAATTTTGCTACTGTTATGAATTGGGGAACCCCTCTGAAAGGGTCATCGACTCCCAAAGGGGTCGCGATCCACAGGTTGAGAACTGCTGCTATAGGGTAACTGTGAGTCGACATAGACTTAAAGCAATGAGTGAGTGAGTTACACTGAGTTGCAATCCACATCAAAGACTGCATCCTTGGTGTTCATCCGCAAATGCTCCATGTCCTCCTCAATTTGGGCAAGCAAGGTTGTGATATGTGCATGTTCCAGGTTATTTAAAAAGCTTTACTGATCCTGGTGCTGCATTCTGCTTCATACAGTCCAGCTTCTTGTGGTTTTGTTTTTGCATCGTACAAAGCTGACACACCCCTCGCTTGATTTTCAACCATGTTGTGTCCCCTTTTTCTCTTTGAATGGCTGCCTCTTGCTCCATATACAGGTTTCACGCGAGCACAATGAAATGCTCTGTAATGCCTATTCTTCTCGATGCTATCCATAGTTTGTTTTGATCCACACCGAAGAATGTCTTTGCACTCAATTGGGGGTAAGGTGTGTATAAAACTAAATGTAGGTTCTTAGAACTTCTGAAAGACACGAAAGCCCAACAGGATGTCAACTAACACTCAAAATAAATAAAGCCAATCTAATGCATATCATCTGGCTCAATAATTCTACCATCCTGAAATCTGTATAGACTTTCCAAAGAAGCAACTAGTGTAGTAATTTCTTTAACCCCACTACCATCTACTGGAAGGATATTTAGCCTTCCAACTTTCTAATATTTAAAAATAACTTTTCCAGGATATGGCGATAGAATTATATTATTAATCACCATATTAATAATATAAATTAATAGTTGAGAATTTATATTAATTTACTAATTTCTGTATCGTTTTCACTTTCTTTCTATGCCAATGAATAGAAAATCCAACCCAATCTGCTTTAAGACCCAAAGTGATTTTTACTGGTTCAAATACAAATATATCCAGAGGCAAAATTTGTTTTAGCCACAGCTGGATTCAGGGCTCAAATACCCACTTCTGGTTCTTGCAAAGTCAGCAGTTCAAAGCCACCACCAGCTCTGAGGGAGAAAGGTGAGGCTTTCTAGAATTTCAGAAACTCAAAGGGCAGATAATGCCAACTCATAGGGTTGCTGTGAGTTGGCATCAACTCGGTGGCAGTGAGCTTGTTTTGTTTGGGCTCCAGGTCTGCCCCGAGTACTGGCTTCATTCGCACGTTTCACAAGTGGCACAAGGGGCTCTAACGTCACACTGCCACTACGCAAAGCCCTTGGAGGTCAAAACAAAGCAGTGGAACTCTTATTTAGCCCCGGTTTGGCCAAACTGCGGCCACCCAATTTTCCCTATACCAACGGCAATACCAGACAGACAATGATTTCCACTTGTTGGGCCTGGGGTGTCCTGTCAGATCAGGGGCTGACATCAATTAAAGCAAGCAGGCCATTGGCGGCCCGGTTGGTGTTTCCTTCACTGCCATAGAGTGGCGTCCAAATCATGGAGATCCTGCCGGGCAGAGGAGAAAACCCCCTTGAGGATTCTGGGCCTATCGCTCTTTAGGGAGGTGGAAAGCCGCGTCTTTCACACGGATGGCGCACTGGTTTCCAACTGTTGACCTTTTGGCGAGCAGTCCAGCCCACAGCTAGCTCTCCACCAGGTCTCTGGGTGGCTGAAGCTTCCAGAACAAAGAAGACCGCTGCGGAGCAAAATCACAAAGGCCCCTGCAACTGATCGCTAGCAGGTTCCTTTCCCTGCTGCCTCCACTTCCTCAAACTTTAGCATAGGCAACGGTAGCCAAATGAGATTGAGATTTTTAAAAAAATGAGTAAAAAAATTCAAAATGAGATTAAAAGAAAAAATTCATGGATGTGCCTAACCAAACTATTTTGAAGAGCATAACATCGCCTCGCCCTTTATATCCCAAATGTCCTTTCAATCGCTGACCCTGCCCTGAGTCTTCAAGGCAGCCTTTGAGAACGCAGGTGAAG